CTTTCTATCTTCGCGTTTGTGTTTTGCGAGTCTCCTGATACAAACGAGGTTTCGAAACAGTCTGAATGTATCCGGTCAGGTTACAGCTCCGGACACATGTAGACTGTTTCAAAGTTGATTGAGTCGGGACCAGTGGCGTGCGGGGTCTGTGGACTGAAACCGGTTCAAGGAGTTCACGGCGTGGGATTTCATGGAGTTCACGGCCTGGGATTTCATGGAGTTCATGGAGAGCGGGATAGGGTTTTGTTTTTGTTTTTTGGCGGGGGGGGGGGGGGTTTCTAATAGGAGGGTGGGGGTCATAATTTCTTCAAAATTGTTTTTCACGAATAGTATTTTATTTTAATTAAAAATGGGAAAAAAAAATGTAACCAGCCAAAATAAGCATTTTCTTTTGTTATTTTGAAGGTTATTTCGATTTTGTTTTTTATTTTTCATTGTCATCACGCTGTGGGGTATGAGGCTACTGTAGCTGGGTGCCGTAAAAAAAAAAGGAAAAATAAAAAAGAAACACCACTCTTTGGCGGTCTGCTTCACAAAAAAAAACACCAAATGAAGGGCGGCTCACACGTTCAAGTGACCGGTGCCGTTCAGGTTCAGGCACGGGTCCGGACGGCTACCAGCGCCCGAGGCATTTAGAATGTCGGCCAGTGGAGAGACAGCACTTGCAAAACACAAACACAGGGGGGGTGCCAGGGAGAAAGGAGGGAGGGAGAGAGAGAGAGAGAGAGAGAGAGAGAGAGAGAGAGAGAGGCATGTTTTGCAACAGCTGTGGCTCCGCTGCAACAAGACTGGTCAGTGAGGGCATACTCACAGTAGAGTCACAGTAGCAGTCTCTTAAATGTATTTGACCGGAATACTGCCCCACCTGGATGCATCTGGTCACACTTCAGTCCCGAAATAACTAGTGTGAGCATGTCCTGAGAGCCTTTTTTCTTTGGGTGCTTTCACATAATAGGTTGACCCACGTCTCCACTCTCCTCTTTGTCTGCTATCTACAGACCGCCCTCTCAGATTTTTTGAAAGCCAAAGCATGTTTACGAGAACTGTCACGCAAAGGCTTAGGCTTGGACCCCACGTGCCGGTGGGTGGAAAAGCAGGTTGGCAACAAAAGACGGGCAAGGGGGAGTTTGGTTATAGGGCCTCTCTGCACTACTCTAGATTCGAGCTTTTCCTTGAGTGCGGTGGATGCACTTAGGAATGGACCCTACAAGAAAAATTGTGGAAAAAAGGGTGTGGAAAAACTTTTTTCGGACTCCACTGGAAAAATCAGGCCCTCTGAAAGTGGGGAGGTTTTCGGGGAGCCTGGGAAACGCTAGCTGCAAATCCGAGATTTTGTGTTTTCACATTGCTTTCAGGTCCGAAAAAAGCCACGGGAGTTTCGGATGGAATTTTGTGCCCTTCCCAGAGAGTAGGGGAGGGGGGCATGTCCTTCGTTGGAAACTTGTTGCAGACCCGCTGGTCCATTTATAGTCTGAGCTGAGCCAATCCCTGGTTCAATGGCCAGGGTGCCTAACATGCTGTTGTCACCCAATAGGGGGGGACAACTGGAACAGGTGCAAGGCCCTTCGAACGCACATGCTGTTGTCACCCAATAGGGGGGTCTCCTCATTCTGCATGCAAGCTCTTCCAAACAATCTTCCACCGAAACCTGAAACTCGTCACTTTTCCAACACTTTTTTTGTGGGGTCCAGGCCTTCGTGTTTTCTTGCCCACTGAGATTTGTATCTTTTTTTAGTCCCGAAAAGCAATTGCGAATTTGCGAGGACCTCTAGAGGTCCTCTCAAATGGCTGCACCCAGCGGCCCAGCAGGCTGCTAACATATACTACACGGTTTGCAATTTTGTCGGGCGCCGGGGTCTTGTGTGACGGCAAAAAAGTAGCAGATTTTGTGATTTTGCGAAAAAGACCCCTAGTCCGCGTATGCTGTAACTCTAGACGACCCTACTCTAGAAATAGACCACAAGAACTTATCTTGGAGAAGAGTCACAAAAACGAGTTATAATAATTGCAGTATCGGGCAAGATAAAGTTTGCAATTGCGCTTCAGGCACCCTACCTGGCCAGAAAGTTGGGTTGTATACTTCTTCTTTTTTTCTTTTTTTTTCTTTTTTTTTAATAGAAGGGAACAAAGCTCCAATCTATTCGTGGGGAGCAACACATGCTGGGAACCGGGCCCAGCGTCCCATATAGAAAATTACATAGGATTTTGAAAAAAATTGAGAATTTGCAGTACCGGGGCCACTACCCGGCTTTGGCTAAGAGCTAGCTTAAGAGATACAAACAAGCTACGGAAAATTCAGGAACAGACTCAGACCCCCCTCCATCCTCCTTACCTCACTCCGGTAAGTCTTACTGTAGCAGAGCCACCATCTCTGCTGCTGCTGTACCCTATTACCATCCTACCAGCTAGCCCCCTCACTAGTAGGACGCTTGATATCCAACCTTCTTTTCCCACTCACCTAGGCAAAGTTTCAGGAAACGTCTCAAAATTCCCCATCCATCCTCTTTACCTCACTCCCGCAAGACTAACTGCAGCAGAGCCACCATCTCTGCTGCTGCTATACCCTATTTCCATCCTACCAGCTAGCCCCTTCACTGGTAGGCCGCTTGATATCCCGCCATCTACTTCCAACACCAACCAGCGTCGTTCTGACCGCAGATTTATGAGTATAACAACATCTCGAGACCACCAGAAGCAACTGAAAGACAATTTTGAAGGTTTGACGTACCGGGGCCATTACCCGGCTTTGGCGAAGAAAAATTGAAGCCAGATTAAGAATTACTATGGCAAAACTCAGAAAACAGGCAAGACTTCAGGAAACGCCTCAGAAAACCCCATCCATTCTCTTTACCTTAGTCCGGC